TGATTATTTATCCTCTCAAATTCCAAAACCTGCTTTTTAAATTTTCTATAATTATGGATGTAAAGGGAAAGGCTTAGAAAGGAGAAATGGTGAAAAATTGGTGACAATTAGTCTTCAAGAAAGCATATTGGCTAAATAGGCTGCCAGAGGGCTGAAAGTACTGTTATGGGACTAAGCACCTCCATAACCTTTAGCATAAAGTGAGGGGGTTCAGGGTTTGTGGGTGGTGTTGGAGCCCAGATCTTAAGTGGAAGGAAAAATAAGGGCAATTAGAACTGATCTCTTTCTTAACTCCCCACCCTGTGCAAATTCATCCATGGTTGGATGAATAGTCCTATGAAATAAAACCAAGCACCCTAGAGAGGCATTGCTCCAATCAGTGCCTGCGAACAAGGCTTGGGCACCTGAGATTTGCTAGTGTTGCTAAAGAGACCAGGAACAGCTCATTCCCTCCACCCAGGGAAGTGTCTTCTCCCCAGGGAATGGGCTGTGAAGGTACCTGGTGTTGGTTGGGGCTCTGGATCACCTCAGTTGCTTCCCCACCCCCTTTAATGTCCAATAATCTGAATTATTGCTGTTGTGTGCAGCTTCCCAGATGAGGGAACCTCCAAATTCTGTGTAAACACCAACTGCTGCTGGAGTCACACTGTGGCACTGAGTGTGGCCAGAGCTGCTCCTTGTGACCAGGTTTCATTTGCTCAGGCTGAGATGGCACTTTTTTCTTGCATGAATCCCATTTTTATCCATGTGACTGTTACTAACCTTCCTTGTAGAAAGCAGGAGGGATAAAAGCATCCTCAGCATTCTTTATTTATTTCCATTCCTCAATGGCAAAGCAAACTGAATGTTTAAGCAACTGACATCAAAGATGTGATTTCTCTGAAGCTAAAAAGCCCATTAATCAAAATTTTAAAGTGTTCTTTAATTACCCTGTAATAAAACGACACGCGCAGAGCGGGAGGAAAAATTGTGTACTTTTAGAGTTCCTCATGCTTGTTTGTGTTTCAAATCTCCCCGGAAATCCCCATTGATCCCTCTTGCTCCTGCTGCTTAATTCCACCCTGCCAGAGCTCCTGTGCTGTGTTCATGTCCTGTGCCGCCTGAAGCACGGGAGCAGCGGCCAGGGAAATCAGGGGTGGCTCTGGAGGATTGGGAATTCCATCCTCTCCGGGAATGGGGTGGAGCAGTGGGCTTGTCCTGGCTTGAAGGCTCAGCAGATGTGGTGTTGAGGGGACAGGGACAGTTGGATCTTGGAAATCTGAGGTGTCTGTGGTGTGTCCTGGGAAAGCTGGAGCTGGAATCCCTCCCTAAATGGCAAACGGAGAGATGCAGGAGCAGTGGGGACAGAGCAGAGGCTGGAGTTGGGAAGGACCAGCACAGCTCCTTCCAGGCTTCACTGTTCAAGGTCTCACCCTTAAAAATGGGCTCTGGATGGAAGCACTGAGACAGGGAGACAGGCAAGAGACACCAGAGTGGGGCTGGTGAGCACTTGGAGGGATGTGAGCTCTCCAAATGGGCTGTGAGGAAAAGGACGTGGTGAAAACCCGGTTAAAAACCTCTTTGTAAAACTCAAACTCATAAAGGAAGGAGAGTGAAAAATCAGATCAGAGTGGGCACCCCACTCCTGTCATTCTGAGGGAGGCGCTCAGGGTTGTGGTAGTAGAGAAAACCTTGGGTGTACAAAGTTAGTTCAGAGGTCAGCAAAATCATAGGCCTCACCTCGCCAAAATTCCAAGTCCTCCAGTCCAATAAACCTTTTCAGGTCCTAGAAACCCTCTGCAAATTTTTTTAAAACCTGAGATTATCTATAAAACTGGGACTTCCAGCTGTGAGCCCTGTCCCTGTGGGCAGTATTGGTGAATCCTCATTTTACTGGGGGAGGAATAATCGGGAGCTGGAGCGGGGGCTGGCACAATCCCCTTTTCCACACCCAGGTGATGCAGCCTGGTGTGTTTTGGGCTGAAATCCCCTGCTCTTGCCAAACTCAGCCGAGTGGGTACATTCTGAGTTGATCTGTTTTCAAACCCAGACAGTTGTTAATGAAACAGTTGCTGTTTTGTTGACAGAACATTAATTACTTGATCTTAGGACTTGGTAATTGCACGGGCCCCCTCTGTATACATCACTAATTACATTAGCAATTATATGGCATTTTAAAGACAAAGAAATGACTGCAGCAATTGCAGTGTCAGAGGGACCCTGCTGGTAAATTCCAATCAAGTCTCTGCAATGGCAGGGAGGTGTTGGGAGAAGCCCTTCTCCAGCCCAGCCCTGCACAAACCCCACTCTGCCACTGCCTAACCCAGGGAGCCTTGAGAAAAGAAGGGGTGCTTGAATTTCTCATCCAGGTTAGTTACACTCTTAAAATTGATCAAAAGCATTCTCAAAAGGCTTGCTGTTGGAAATATTTTTTCTCTATTACTCTTAGAAATAACTGAGTCATATCTTAAAAATCACAACTTAAATTAGGAATAGCCACCATTGTAAAAGCAGTGTAAAATGTCTCTCTGAAAAGCTGCACTGTGTTTCCAGGGCTCTTCCCTTGCCAATGAATAGGCCAGAAGGTGACTAGAGAAGGTACAACTCCTGTGCCTCCAGAAGGTGGAGGCTTGCATCCACATCTCCCTGTGGAAAAGGACATGCCAAGGGCCAGGCTTGTGTTTTCTCACCTTGTAACTTTGCCCAAACCCAGGACAACAGATCCCATTTCCCTTCCCCAGCGTCCCGCTGTGCTTCCCCCAGAGTTCTTCTGTTGTCTCCATGGACGTGTGTTGGTGCCTTCCCCCTCAGGCTGGAGAAGTGTTGGGTTTCCCCTTCCCTTATCTCCGCTGGTGTTTGTTCCCCTGCTCTGTCGGCACCTCAGCTCCATCCCCAGCTGCTGGTTAAGCCTGTCCTGCACACGGAGTTAATGAGACATTCCTGCCTAAATAACGTGCTGCCATTAAAGCTTCAGATCTCTGCACCTCAGCAGCTGTGTGTTGTCACAGAGATAAATATTTTAACTGGGCTGGCAATTCCCTGCCTGCCCTGCACAAGTGGCTGAAGGAGTGGCTTTTGTTTCACCATTTATTGAAGTGGAATTCAAATTTTTTTTTCCATCTAGAAAATACATGGAAAGAAAACAAAACAAAATCAAAAACAACAACAAAACAAAAATAGGGAGGGAAAGGATGTGCTGTTCTAGGTGGCCTTTCTGAGCCAAGGCAGATCAACCTGGCCATGCCCAGATGTGACTGTCCCCTCCCTGGGGAAGGACAACCTGCACGATCACTGACCACTCCTAGAATTCCCACTGTCACTGCTCTTGGGAGGAATATTCCTTTGCTCTTCCTGATACTCTATAAATTCACAGCGAGCCAGACACTTTGCCTTTGGAAAAGGGCCACTTTCTGTGTCTGGTGTGACCAAAGTCATTCAGCTCTTCCCAGAGCGTGGCAGCAACCTTGGAGGGAAGGCTGAACATCTGATCTTCCTGTAAAACCTGGTGAGCCAAGGATTTAACAAGTGGGGAGGTCTCAAGCCTTTATTGGTCTTAACATTGACCATAAAACCTCTTTTCACAATGTTTTTTTTACGAATGGAGTAAGACTGATAAATGAAATATGTTCATGACAATGATCCTAGAGAATTTTTCTTTGTTTTTCAAGACATTTCTCTGCAGATAATCCTGGATAATCTGAGCTACTTGGGCTTGGAAGCCGTTGTTCATGTGCTTATTTGAGTCAAAAACTTGATTTTTTGGTCTGAAACTCTCATACATCTCCTTCTTCCCTCCCTCAGCATTTTGTTTGGAAGTTGCTCAGGCTCCAGCTCAGAGGGTGACACATCCCAGGCTCGTGTTTGTGTCTGTCCATCATCAAGTCCTTAAGAGATGTAAGGAAAGCAGGAGTGGAGCAGCAGACCTCCAGCTTTCATCTGCCCAGCACACTTCCTCCCTGCAGCACAACAGTAGGGCCCTGTTCAATCTGAGAATCTCTTTCACAGGAACCGGGGCTTTTATCACCAAAGTCATCACTTAAAATACTGCTGGGACTTCTTAGGGGGGAAAAAGAGCTGAATAAGATTTTCAGGAGAATGGGCCTCTGTTCAAGAGGAGATGAAGGATATTTCATCAGGACTTGGTTTCAGTGCTGGGATGAAGGTCATCTGCTGATTGCACGTTATCCTGAAAGGAGGAATGGCTGCAGGTCACCAAAAACCTCTGTTTTCTCCTCAGCTTTGGGCTGATAGTGCCTCATGTTTTCAGATGCTTTCACTGACATCTGGCAGTAATTTAAATACTGACTCACATTCTGTCGAAAATGTCAGTAAAAGTGACCTTCATCATTAAAATTTCATTTGTTTGAACCTTTCCAGTAATTTTCATTGAAGAAAATGGAATATTCCTGGTTCAAATGGCCAATTACTGTTTCTAAGCAGTTTTCAGCACTCTGTTTTGTTCATCCCTGTGGCTGAGACATGCACTCTGCACAAGAGGGAGTAAATATATCCAAATTATTTTTGGGAGCCAATGTGATTCACCTCTGCAGCATCAGTTCGTTGTTTGCTCAGAATTTTGCACAAAGAAGATGCCTAAAACAGGACCAACCCCAAATTTAGTCCAGGGAGAGGCCAGGATCAGCCAGTCCCAGTTTTTAATTTTGATTTTGTTCTTTGACCAACTGTATACTCATAACAAAAAGGGGAGGTGTCCAAATTCCCCCTGTCCAACCCTTTGAGTTCTTCCCCCCTCCAAAAAGGACTGAACTCTCACACAGGTGTTGTCCATTTGTAATAAAGGAATGGTCAGAAAAGGCCATTAATTATCCTATTATTCCATGCCCAGCATAATCTCAACCTGGCTCTCCCAAATGTGGTTGGAGGTTTTACAAGCAAATCTTCAAATCTTGATTTAAAAACTCTCACATAACATTTTATACCATTTTTAAGTGTTATTGTTACCCATAAAGATGATAAAGAAGCAGATTGAGCACTCTGAAATTAAGATAATTCCCCCCTCATTTACAGTACAAAAATTTTATTTTTTTTTGTTAGGATAATTTAAAGTTTAAAACTGAAGTAGACATACTCATTTTACAAACAAGATATTCTTCCATAAGTAGGACCATTAAAAACAGTAAACAAAAAAACCAAAAAGCTATCTTTACAAAAGCTCTGTGCATAGCAACTTCATACTGTATATAACTGACAAAGCAAAAAAAAAAAAAAAACAAACCCAAAAACAACCCAAAAAAACAACCAGCCAACCCCAAACAAACCCCAAAACTATACAGGAGGGAGAAATGAGGCCTTAAATTACAGGAGGGAGGAAGGGTTTGAAGAAACCATGCATATTGGAAGTGTGCAAAGAAAGAGGGAGAGGAAGATGCTCTACCAAGATAAATTAGGAGATCAAACCAGCTCTGCCAAAGTTATGATGAAATTTGTCATTACCTGTTGCAACACTTTCATCTTCCCAGTGGCAAAGAGGAAAACTCTCAGGGAATTGTCAACAGCAACTACTCAAAGAGGACAGCTTTGCTTGTTACAGTGAAAAAATTCTTACACATCAATTCTGGAATCATCTTTGCCCTTTTTGTTGAGTGTTTTGCCACTGCCAAGCTTCTTTTTCATGGCCAAGGATTTCTGATTGTGTTTATTTAAAGGTGTTTTTCTCTATAAACCTCATTTAATTCTACACTCATCTCTAGTACCATGATTTTCCTGCATGAGCAAAATCCATGTTCTAAATAATTCCTAGGTTTAATTTGTTGGGTTTTTTTTGGTTTTTCTTTTTTTGCTCAAAGCAAACCAGATTTTTCATATTTGCATCAACACAGGCAATTCCTCTTCTGCAAATGCTTGGAGCAGCTTTTCAGGGAGGTTTCTCTTTTTCACTTGGACTCATGGCAACTGGGCAACTGGACAGAACTAGTAAAAATAACTGAAGGGTGAAGGGAATGTTCAGTGTTCCAGAAAGTTTCCTTTTTTTAAAATTATTTTTATTTTTTTTATTTGCCAGACTGTCATTTTTACCCCTGAACCTTCCCAAGATTTCAGTGATGTGGTAGATATTTCTTTCATGTACCTGTGCTGACTAAGCAAAAATAAAACAGAAGGATGGACAAAACCCAGCTTTTCCCATGAAATATCTCCTTTTTTTTTTTTTTTTTTCAATTGGAAACTTTCCTGACTGAGATTTTGTAATGAAAATCCCATTTGCTAAGAAAAAAGAGCAGGATTTAAGGTAGCAAACTGCTACTCTCCAGCAGGTGGTCTAGAAATTCCTATTGATCTGGAATATTTGCCAGACAGAATAATGAGTCTGTTTGAGGATCAGTTTTAGAAGTAGCCTGTACAGAGAAGGGCAGGGGGAATATTCACCATCTTCATGCTTCTGAGCTGTTTGGGGGTTTTAGTAGGTGGGAATGGAGGAAGGGATTTGATAGAATGAACCCGGTCCACCAAGGTAATTTTTGGAATTAGGACTCAATGTGTTTTAACTGAAAATTATGGAAGTTTTGATCCCAGCTCTTCCAGTCCTTAATCCATTTTTATCCCTGGATAAATGCATAATTCCAAACATGAATTTGGACTTCCTACTTAGCCCTGCTGGGATATCAGTACCTATGAATATATGAAATATTTTGGGGGTTTTGTTGTTGCTGTTTTGCTGTTTGGAACATCCAGGTCAGACCCTGCACCCTGTTGTGTTTTCAGAGATACACTGACAACTCCAGACTTTTTAACATCTATAATCCTTTGATATTTCAGAGCTCACTTGGTTCCAGGGATGCTGGTTGACCTCCAGTGGCTGCCACATCCTTGGTGGCATGAGGGGCATGCAGAGAATCCGTGAGGACAATCAACCTGCAGCCATAACTAACAGAGATTTATTTTAATTCATTTTTTGTGGAACTCAGACAATTTCAGTAGCCTGACTGTGAAATACTAATTATATCCATGTTTCTTAAACCCACATTATTCCCACCAAATCTCTCTTTAAATTGTCGTTTTTGCTGATAAAAGTTGGGCCTTGAGTTTTAGAAGAGATTTACCCTCCTCCACCTTTTTAAAATGGGACTCAATGGCATTGAGAAGGCACCAAATGACGACCCTGCCAAACCTCACAGCACAGTCAGGAGCACAACACTCCTTCCCAAGAAGTGGGACTTCCTTTAGGAATGGCCAGAGCAGCCCAGTTGGTGTCTCCAGTCCCTCTGAGATCTCCTTCAGAACTCCACGTGCAGTGGATGGTTTTATCCCATAAACTGAGCTGTGCACTGCCCCAGGAAAGGGAACTTGGAGGAGCTGGTCCCATCCTTGGAAGCTTTGTTCAATCCCTGGCAGTGCCCAAGGCCAGGCTGGGGCTTGGAGCAGCCTGGGGCAGGGGAGGTGTCCCTGCCCCTGGCAGGGGGTGGCACTGGATGGGCTTTAAGGTCCCTTCCAACGCCACCGTTCCAGGATTTTCTGGTTCCATGCCCTGCACAGGCTGCCCTGTGCCCAAGCCCTGTCCTTCAGGTGAGGGTCCCTCAGGTCACCCCCGTCAGCCTCCCGTCGCCATCCAGCTGTGCAGCTGCAGAGAGGAGTTTGGGCTCTTCCTAACCCCAGTTAGCTCCACAACAGCTCCAAGAGAGCTCAGCCATGTGAGTTGGGCCAGTTTCACCATCTCGAGCCCAGCTCAACTTCTACCATCCCTAAAGATCACCAAGAACACACTTTTCCTTACCCATCCATAAAACTACTGGGCAAATGGAGAAGTTCAGATCCTGGGGCCTTATTTAGGGTTTATTGATTAAAATCAAGATGTTTCTGTAGGAGCAACTGTCCATGCAGCCATTAATTGTGTGGATTTTAGAGGGGTCTCTGTAGTGTAGCTGATTTTTATTTTTTTCCCCACTAAAAATGGCTTTCCAACAACCAAATTCTTTTGAATGTTCTCTGAAATAATTCATTATTTGTTTTATCAAACTTTTCCTCACCTTCCAATTTCAGGAGAGGAGATGCAAAGGAGAATTAAACTCTTTTTTTAGGCTAAAATGCAGAAAAATTCAAAGCAATTTATTACCTCTATGAACTTCAATATATAACTGGCAAATACTTACCATTTTTAATGACTCAGGATAAAAGTGCATAAATCATTCAAATACATGTTCACCCTTTTAAATGCACCCTTTATATGAAGCATAACTGAACTTAAGGTGTTCTAACTACATGGAAAACCCCAGAGAACCCTTCCCCTCCTAATTCATACATTGAATCTATAAAATAAACTCAGTACCTCATGAAAAATCCGATTCACTCAAATCCCTAAGTGCCACTCACTCGTCAGCTGGGTCTTTGAGACTTAGCAGTTAATCTTAGTACCTGAATATTTTAATTGAAGCAAAAAATGGAAAGGGGGGAAAGATGAGGAGGGTGAAAAATTCCTACATGAGCTGTTTACCACAATGTAGGTAAAGGTTTCTGAGGGTTTTGTTAATCAGAAAGAATCCTATACATCCTTGCACATGAATTCAGTAAGAGGGGGGGAAAGTGAGGAGCAATTGCAGCAGTAATAATATATCTCAAACTTATCACTACATTTTTGCATCATCTGTCTTCATTGTACAACTGGAGGAAAAAATCCAAAACAGGGTTTAATTTCTACCTCTACGTACAATAAGTTACAAGTTTATTTATTTAAATAATTGTAAAACATCTTACATTTTTTAAAGAGGTTAAACTATAAGCAAATACACACATACACCAAAGTTCCATCATTCATGTCAGTTTGTCCTAGAAATTCTTTCATGCTGGTACCCTGTTTTGTTGAATTGTTTTTCTGCATAAACTAAATCGATATCTGAAAGGCTCCATAGAAAATAGAAACTTCAACTTTTTTACCCCTACAAAGTAAAACAAATTGTATCCAAAATATCAACCTTGAATCATTTTGCCAATTTCTTTTTTTCTCCTTTGAATATTTTACAAATCTTAGGAAGGTTTTCGTGTCTTCCAGGAAGGACTTTGCATTTCTAATTCCATTCTGCCAAGTCTTGTTCATCCTGGCTCTTGCTGATTCTTCATTCCCAATGTTTGAGGAGTTGATGTGGTTGTGTCAGAAATATGAAACAGGTAAATGATGCAGACTTCTGTCTTGTCCAATCCATAAAAAATGTTCCTTTTTTTTCCTGGGCCTGGCTTTTCCCCAAAAAAGAGCTTGTAGTGCTATTTTTTTCTTTTTAGTGGTCCATCACAATAAGTAGTTTTGTGCTGTAAAAGAAAAATGAAAAAAAAAGGAGGAAAAAAGGGAAGAGGGAGGGAGAGCAGCAAAGCTGCCCCTTCCTTACATCGGGGGAATGACAAGACCAGTCATGGCTGAAAAAGAAAAGTGAAAAAGATGAAATTGTGGCAAAATGTTATGGAACAAAATATATTCGAGCCCTTTGCCCTCCTGTGAGCAGTCAGGAATCACGGGAAGGGCCTGATCTGAGGTCAAATTAGAGTTTTGGTGTCTTTAAACCTTTTGGTGCTATAGTGAGAACTGTGAGGACTGACTGTGACCCAGACAATGGGCAAAGGGCTATTCCAGGGTAAAAAGGAATAAAATCCTTCCTGTGAGGGTGGCAAGGGGCTGGGATGGAATTCCCAGGGTAGCTGGGGCTGCCCCTGGATCCCTGGCAGTGCCCAAGGCCAGGCTGGAGCACCCTGGGGCAGTGGGAGGTGACCCTGCCCTGGCAGGGCTGGCACTGGGTGGGCTTTAAGGTCCCTTCCTAAACCACTCCATGGTTTTCTGATTCTGTGAAAAGCCCAGGCCCACCAGGGTTACTAAATGGATGAAAAAGAGAGAGGGTTAATTCAGTTCATGTGTGTTTGCAGAAAAACCTTCTCATTTTTGAGTTCTTATCTCTGGAGAGAAGTCCTTGGGGATGGACATTGCTCAGAACTGTCCCCATATTCAGACTTCTCAAGCTGAACACTCAAAACCATCTTCATAAACCAAAACTGAGCAGGGTCTCTGCTCCCTACCCACCCTGCTCATCTGCTTGGAAGGGCTGGGAGCGAGGAAAGGCGTGGAAGCAGAGGGAACTGCCCCCTGTGCTACTGACAAGACCGAGCCAGGGAATTCCAAGCCCTGAATCCCGGCCCAAAGCCTGGGCTGGCTTTTGCCAGTCTGGTTGCAGTGGAAACAACCTCACTTCCTCACTTTGTTTCCCCCACGTGTCTGAGTCACTGCAGCCCTACCTGGCACACTCCCAGAACACTGGGCTTATGTAAATTATTTATTAGTCACTCTCCTGCTTTTAATTGCAGCTCTGCTCCTCGTAACCGACAGCAGCAACATTTGGAGCTGCCTGGGACCGGTGCTGCTCCCCAAGGTTTTGAGGGGTAAGTTGAGTTTAGATGTATTTATATAACAAATGAGTGAGTCACGTTTTCAAAGGGGCCTCGGTGCAGTGCGAGGTTCTAATCCTACAAAGATTTATGTTCACTGAAATTTGTGGAATTATTGGTGTGTTTAAAACCCTGTCCCGCTGAGAATTCATTTCACCCTTTCCTTGAGAGGGTTTTAAAAAGTGCTTTGGGCAAGTTCCTGAGCTAACACAAGTCTGTTACTGGAGCTGTGTTTTTAAACAACTGTGGATATGGTCTGTGATTTAATACAATAGGAAAATAAATATTTTCATATTTTCTTACTGACTGGGGCTAAAGTCCCTGCCAATTTTAGCAGATAGCTGAAAGGGAAAGTGAAACCCAACAGCCCAAAGCCAAACAGATACCTTTTGTAATTGCTTTGGAATTTGCTGTTGTTCCTCATATTTTAAAACCTAAATAAAGCAGGTAAACACTTTCATGGCTGTTTTTGGGATATGTGTGAGTGCATTAGAAGAGAGATTATCTGATATCACCAAGGATGCTGTTCCATTCCTTCTCCTCAACCCCAAACCCCAAAATTAATCCTACTGGTGGTGTCCCAGAGTGACATGGAGAGCTGGGTATTGACCCTATGCCTGCCTTAGAAAGGAAAACTTGATTTGGCCTTGGATTTCTGCCCTGCTCCAGGCTCTGCTGGGCTGGAGGACGAGCTGGGCTCGTGCCCTCCATGCTGCCTCCATCCCACAGCTATCCCAGGGGAGCAGATCCTCGTGCTCTGCTCCAGGCAAAATCATCCAGGCTGCCTCCAGGAGTTTAAAGGGTTTGTCTGAGCTGTCCTGGCTGGGTCTTTGCCTGAAGCAAGTAAAGGAGCAGCTGCACAGGCGGTGCCTGGCTTGTCCCCATCCAGGATGGCCTTTCCTGGCTGTTGGATATCTGGGCACAGGGGTTGCACAGCCTGTTTAGCACGGCTGAGTTTCAGCCATTCAGGGGCTGGTGCCAGTGTGGCTTCAGCTCTGTTCCCAAGAGAGCCAGTCCATAACAGCATAAATGTTTTTTTGTGATGCTATTTTTATTAACAGTATTTTCACTTTTTTTTAATCAAGGAAAACTTCCAGCAAAGCAAAGCTTAAACCTGAGTTTCTGCCACGTGTCTTCAAAAATATTTTGAGAAAACTTGTAGATGCATCATTCTGGGAAGTTGTTTAACTTTAAATGAAAGCACATTTTTTACCGTAGGATTAGAGATATTAATAATAAAATAATATATGTATTGGAATGAACAGGTTTCCAGAGAAGCTGTGGCTTCTCCATCCCTGGAAGTGTTCAAGGCCAGGTTGGATGGGGCTTGGAGCAGCCTGGGATAGTGGAAGGTATTCCTGCCCCTGGCAGGGAGTGGGACTGGATGGGTTTTAATGTCCCTCCCAATCCAAATGATTCTGGGATTTTGTGATTCCATGATCTGATATAGCAAGTTCTATAACACAGAACATACAAGGAAAGCCTAATTTGTGTCACTGGCATTTCATTCTCAGTCTCACCTCCTCCTGCAACAAAGAATGAGTTGGTGGAGGAATATTGGCTGGAATTCTCACCTGGTTTTCCCCAGCTCATCTCACGGCTTCTCTCTCTTTTCACACACCCTGCTCTGCCCGTTTCCACCCCACCTCCACTCCCCGTTGGGGCTGCACTGTCAAAAGCCTATTCCCAGCCTGGATCGCTTTTTATTGAATGTTTGGGAGGTTTGGATTAAGGTCTTACACTGCTAGCAAAGCTGTAATTATTTTTGCCTGTATTACTATATATTGAATCGATGTAACTTTTCAATAAAGGTGGTTCAATGCAGGACACTCCCTGATGAGTTGGGAATATAGCAACCTCCAGTCATTATCCCAGAGGGTCTTTTTTTTTTTTTCTCTTGGAGGGAAATGGAAAAAGAATTAGAGATGAGCCTTATTGTATTAACCTTGACAGCTTGCAATTATCAACTGAAACACTTGATTAAAATTGTCACAAGGTTGGAGAATTTTTTTATAAATAAATAATCAAAGATGGGTAGCACCCAGATGATCTGGTGATAGGCACCTTTAATGGGTGTAATTAATAATGATCACAAGCCTGGTGCGTACAAGTGGCCTTTGGAAAACTGTCTTGGAGTGGAAAGGGACTCGCTGCAATTCAAACGTGAGAACTGGGAAGGGGATTAGTGTTGAACTCCAGGATCATGGAATGGTTTGGGTTTGTTGATTACAGCTGATCTCATCCACCCCCTGCCATGGCAGGGACACCTCCCACTGTCCCAGGGTGCTCCAACCTGGCCTTGGACACTTCCAGGGGTGAGGTAGCCACAGCTCCTCTGGGAATTCCATCCCAGCCCCTCGGCACCCTCACAGGGACCAAATCCTCCTAAAATACATTCTTGGAAAAAAACACTCCCTGTAAACAGCTGGAACAATGGGAATGCAAATCCGAGGATGAAGATTGCACAGCCACTCATGTTTAGACTGGTTTTAATCCAGGCTTAAATACTGCTGTTGGTAACACATATGGAAGCTCTAATCTAGATTTTCATTGCTGCCTGTAAGGAGAGTGGCAGGCTCTGAGGGGCTGGTAAACAAGAAGACAAAGAAGAAGATTATCATCCCCTAAATGTAGATATATAATTCTATAATGTATATATTATTATTATATATTGGGGAGATGTTTTCCACATGTTATGGGTGGGGAAACTCAGAGTTAATGGCTTTGGAAAGGGGCCTGCACATATTCACTGCTTGCCCTGTGCTTTTGCTATTCTTCCTCCAGCAGCATTTTTGGATACCTAAGTTTGATAAATAAGGAAATAAATCCTAAATTCCATGCCCAGCACACCTATGCCTGGTTTCCAGCCCCAGGGGTGGCGTGGCAGAGGGCATTATCCATCTCCCACTGCCTCAGTCCAGGCAAGAAGCCTCTTTGGGAGCCTCGTGTTGACTTTTTGGCCACATCTGTCTGTCAGCACTGTGGGAACGTTAATTTGGATATCAGGCTGCGTGTACCTGGATCTTTTCCAAAGCATGTGCTCCCCAGCTTGCATCAATTTAAATATTTCAGCTGGAATTTGCATCCATGGCTGAAAGAGTTCAATAGTTACCAAGACCTGGCGTAACAAACCTTGTTTCTTCTTGCTGTGTCACTGACCAGTCCTGTTTTATTGGATACTTAAATTTAACAGTTGTAGAATATGAGTATACTTATGTTTGTGTTGATGTACAGGTAGAAATCCCACAAAGAAAGGGATGTGGTTAATAAATTTTGTATCCATCCAAAATCTGTATGATTTTGCTAATTCAGCAATTATTCACAACCTTAACTCATAGATTAATCCTGACCAGCTCAGGACTGGAGTTTGGTCAGTAGAAATGGGTGGATGTCAGGTTTTAGCTTTGAGATTTTGTTATATGTAATATTAAATCTCAATTTTTAGAATCCCTCATTGATTACTGATTTATAGACTGGATAAAATATGTTGTGAACACCAAATGGCATAGGTGGGACCAGCTGGTCTCTAGCACTTTATTTATTTATTGGTTGGAAGAGAGATAAACTCTTTCTGAGCAGAGCATTGAGTGTTACCTTAAGGAAAATTATTAATTTAAATATTTCAGTAATTTCTTAATCTGTCCCTTTTTCTGTCTCCCAGAAGCAGCTGAGTAGTTTTCTCTCTGATTTGTGTTTAGCACCACCTCAGGTAACTCCTTAATATTTAGGCTTAATATTTAGGCCTTCTTTACAAAACAGTTAGACAGTTTAAAGCAGACTTAAATCTGTGCACTCACATGGTGAGATCCATTAATGGATAACCCATTAATGGGAAGAAAATTATCTTAAGAAAGTGTGGATTTTCTTGTAATTGGGACAGGAGAAGAAGCTGTTTCAGAATTCTCTGAGTTATCTCTTAAAAATGTTACTGTTTCTGTTCAGCACACTTAGAATTTCCTTACAACATAAAATAATCACACTTTCTGCAAGTTCCTGTGGCCCAGCTAAGGGTTTATATCACACCCAGCCAAACAGGTGCTGTTTGTGGGGCTCATTTGGAATTACCACTGGCTCTTGGCACGGCTCAATTCCCAGAGCTGTGTTTCCTAGGCTATCTCTAGTGAAGTCTGAAGGAGCCAGATGACTTCCCAGGCCCTATAAAGGCATTTTTTATGGAGACTTGGAGCATATTTATGTGCTGCACACACCCCCCCCCAGCCTGTTAAAAGCAAGAATTCGGTACAGGTTTCCATTCTTATCTCACATTTGCTCACATTTGTTTCACAGATCACCTTTAAAAGGGCTGTAAATGGGCTGTGGGGCTCAATTCCCGGGCTGAGCCTAAATCTTGCAGCAGGTTTGTGTTCTGGACAGAGCTGGGGATTAACTCTGCTCTGTTTAACAAGTCCCCCAAGCCTGAGGAGAAGTCATTCCCCACAAAGAGCTGATATTCCCCTATATTCCAGGGAGAGCTGTTCCTGCCTGTGGTGGTGGTTGGAACTGGATCTTTAAGATCCTTTCCCAGCCCAAACCATTCTGGGTTTGAAATTCATTGGCTCAGAAGTGGAAATCAGTGCCTGGCCCCTGCTCTGAAGCCAAGAGCTTGGACTGACCCTTTGGTGCAGCAGGGCCGGGGCAGGTGTCACTCCTGAGCCCTGCAGAACCCGCGATGGCACTCGCGGTGGTGACTGCTCTCCAGAGCGGGAGCTTTAATGCGAATTAACAGCAGCACACTCCTCACCTCGGAAGCCATTCCCGTTGCCGCTGGAGCAGGCAGGGGAGGGGGACCCTTGGGGTCTGATGACAGGAGCAAAGGCACTCTTCTGTTTGACAGCAGGGAACACCGAGGAGGAGAACGGGAGGATGGAAGAAGTGCTGGAGGAGCCGACTGTTGGACTTGAAGACATCACTGCCAAAGGAAAAAAAAAAAAAAAAGAATTTCTCATCAGAAATTTGGTAAAACTGTTTCAAGAATCCGTTGTTGAATTCCTTGTTTTACCTCTCAAAGGAGGTCTCATTCTCTCAGTGAGTATAATTAGAGTAGGTCTGAAGTAGAGAGGGAGTTTAACTGAATAGTTCAGAGAAAACAGTGCTTAATTCTTTCAAAATTAGGGGTGAGGGTGCCAGAAAATTGAAGATCATCAAGGGAAAAATGGAGTCAATTGGAACAGCAATGGCCTGTCCACTCAGTGTCCTTGGAATGTGGAAAGGTTGGCAAATCCTGTGTCTTCCTCAGTTTTTTAAAAATTAATTTTCCTTGGTTTCAAGTTGCTGCTTAGATTTTACTCTAAATTGGCTACTTTTTAAAGAAGTGCCTTGCAAGAAAAAAATTCCTTTTCTATGTCCAATAACTTGTCCAGGAGCTGTTTGCTGAGCTTCCAGAACAATATCAGCCATTTCTCAGCAAAAGGAGGAGTAAATAACAATATTTCATGTGAATTCCCAGGTCTCTTGGTAGTATTAGTTTGAAATCACAATAACACAAGAGAGACCTGATCCTTTCCTTATGGAAAGCTCCAGAAGAGGGGATAATAATAATAATAATAATAATAAGAATAAGAAGAAGAAGAAGAAGAAGAAGAAGAAGAAGAAGTTAACCTCTTCATCTGTTTACGTATATATACATATATAACATATATTTAATTATTTACTTACACCATAGCTGGTGGTGTATACTTTTTTTTGGTTGTTTTTCACACATTCCCTAGACAAAGGGAAATCCAGGTATGGAAGGGAAAGTGGCTGTTCATGGTAAAACAAGCAGAAATTGAGAGATTAATTCTATTATATGTTATATTTCTGGTTATGAAGTTAATATGGTTTCACAGGAAATTAATCCCCAATTCAGCTCTCAGGTATTGATAATGCCTTCAAATTCATAAAGATTATTTCAGAGTGGCTTTTGCCCAGGATTTGCAAAGTCTCTATGCTAAAAGCAGTGGCTACTCGCTTAATAAAGCTGCAAATTGCACCTCCTTTCCCACGGTGGCTTAGCCACTCAGGAATCTGCATAAGTATTAAAAAAATGGAGGAAAATAAAGAATGCTCAAAAAATGTGAGCCTTCTCTAGTTGGCACCCAAAGACACCCAAGCACAAAGAGAGCCTTTGGCTGACTCTGCTCTGTTTCTGGGGCAGAGGAGCAGAAGGGCTTGGGGTGAAGGGGAGGGGCAGGGGAAGGGTGAAAGGGCAGGTGAAGGGGAGGGGCAGGGTGAAGGGCAGGTGAAGGGTGAAGGGTGAAGGGCAGGGGCAGGGTGAAGGGCAGGTGAAGGGCAGGGGCAGGGTGAAGGGCAGGGCCGTACGTCCGTAGGGGGATCCCGTCGGGGAGCCGTTGATGAAGCCGGGGGAGCCGGGCACGCCCAGGTTGGACATGGGCACGTTGCTGTAGCCGTTCATGCTGTTGCTGGAGGTGCTGTAGTTGGACTGCTGCGGGGTGGAACTGGACGAGTAGCCCCGGGGGGAGATGCTGCTGGTGTTACGGATGTAACCTGGAAGTAAAGCACATTTCAGAACATCTCCAGGGCTTAAAACTTCCTCCTGCACATCCCCTGCTTTAATAAATGCCACTGAAATCTAGATTATTTAAAATGTTTAAGCAACACTAATAAATTCAGTGGTTTTTCCTGCAGTTTAAGTTCTGAACCAACTATTTTAAATGATCCAGTGTACATTTTTTCCAATAAAATTTGATTTATTAAAATTTTAAATTCATTCAAAGACCTGGACAACAGTGTTTGTGCTTATGTTTACCTGGGGTAGAATTTATAATATATGGGATTTTCTACCATTAAATGGGGGAGGTTTTACTCTTCAAATTATTGTTGAATTGTTAAATTACAGATAAAGCAAGTACATTACTAAGGGGAAATGATAACCTGTATAAAGTTTGTAGTTTAACTTTTAATTTCCTCTACTTGGGAGAAAGATAAACTGGATAAGTAAAACACATTTTTGTTGTATTAAAAAAAAATGCTAACAAGTATTTGAGAGCCAAAATTTAGCCTTTTTTTACTCCAAAAAGAGAGTTAAAAATGATAGCTACCAACACAAAAGGATAAAATCATTATTCCAGCTGCAAAAAGGTCTTTCCATGAAAAAACTTTAATTAGAAAGACTGATACAATAATTACAGGAAGAGTAGTCACTATTTAGATATAATATTTAGGTATATCAAGTCAGGTAATTTCTGCTCATTTACATTATGAGGTTCTAATTCAGGGCTGATAAGACCTTGAAAAAATGAGCAAAATTATCTTGATGATGGATTTTAACTGGACAGATAGAAAATTAACATTAAATGACTTGGGTGTTAAACACAGCCAATTATTGAGATCAACCAGAGACTGTGTGTGCTAAAAATCAAAATATTCAGGACACAGAAAAGTTGATCATTCTTTCAATGGTAATACACTGTTTTACGGGTTGTTTTCCTCACAATCAATAGTGTATCTGGACTAAATGTAATACATACAATATATGAATGTTGGTAAAATTAACACTGAAGCAGCTGCCTTAAAAACAAAAAAAAAGGAATATTTCCCACCTCTGTGTGAGGTTTTTTTTCCAGCTGCTGCCATTGCTGTTTGTGAAAACAGAGATACAATCAAAAAAATTGATATTTTGAGGAGGACAGGGAGGGAATTCAGGGGTGAGTTGGTATTGAAAGTAATCAAAAATTATTTCAGATAAGACACAGGAGCAGCACCACCCTTTGGGATGCCCAGAGTTAAAGGCACCGCTGGGCACGTGGAGAGGTTGGAAATCAGATCCAGGGAAAAGTGAAGGGGAAGGTGGCCGGGCTGGGGTTTCAGAGCCCAGGGAACGCGCCGGGGCTCACCCTGGTTGTTGCCCTGCGCCGACTCGGAGATGCTGACGCCCAGCTGGCTGCCGTAGGAGTTGATGCCCATCATGGAGCTGTGCGCGGGGGAGCTGGACAGCGCGGGGATCTGCGCGGGGTTGCGCGGCACGCTGTACAGCGCCTCGGCGATGTCGGCCGCGCGCTTCAGGATCAGGTCCTGCGAACGAGGGACAGCTCAGGCACTGAACGGAGCCACGGGAGCCCCCGGGGCTGGGCGGCACCGTCCCACCCCCGGCAGCCTGACCTGGTTGTTGTGGGGCGTCCCGTACAGGGCCTCGACCAGGTCAGCGGCTCTTTTCAGCAGCATTTCCTGTGGGGCGGAGGGAAAGAGGTGTTTTAATGGCAAAAAGTAGCTCTGGTCAATAAAATGAAGTGAAATAAATATGTAATAAATGAAGAAAATAAATAAACAAAAAGTTTTAAATATATAATAAATGAAATAAAATATATAAATAAAATAACAATAAAAATAAATATATAATAAATAAAAATAAGTGCAACATACAATTAATTAAATAAATATGTAATAAATAAAATACAAACAAATAACTAAATACAACAAACAAAATACAATGGTAATATAAAATAGAACAGGAGAAAATAAATAAAAGAAAATAATAAATTGAATAAGACAGAATAGGCTAGTCTAGCCTAAAGTACAATAAAAAATAAATACAATAAATAGACGAATACTATAGAATAGAATAGAATAGAATAGAATAGAATAGAATAGAATAGAATAGTTAAATAAATAAAACCATGAGCTAGTATTCTCTCAAGTGTTTGTGTGTGGTCGCTCTGAAGCACAGTTCAGGTGCTGTGTTCAGGTGTTATTTGCCAGGTACCTGAGGAATTTAAGCCCTCCCGGTGGGTCAGAGCAGCCCCTCCAAACCACGAGTCCCTTTGGAGCCAGCGGGGGCTGATCCCTGGCTCGGCCGTGCCAGGTCCGGGGCTCCTCCGTGACCCGGAGCTCTCCAGAGTCCTGAACCTGCTCCACCTCAGCAGCACCAAAAACGGAGACAAATCCCACACGTCCCTGCTCCCCCGGGGATTTCAATGGATCCTTTTGCAGGGACACACGAGCGTGTGGAGGATTCAATACATTCCTTTGCATGGACACAGCATTTGGGCTCAGGGATGGGCCACCAGGGGTAGGGCAGAGCACAAGGACGATGAACTGGGAATGTTCACTGGACTCAATTTAGCAGCAAAATTACACAGAGACTGTTTGGACTCCAACATACAAAAATCACTGTGGGTTCTACACAGTCCCATCCATTCTTGCCAGATTTACAGCTAATTGGTGAATTCTGATGTGATTGTCATTTAAGACATAATTGTGTCTCTTTTATTAATTAGAAGTGAAAAAAACAGATTTGGTGGGGTGAGTGAAATGTTTAAAATTATTTTACCTTAGCTAATCTTTCAGGGTCCCCGGGATGTCTTGGGATGACCTTCTGCAGTCTTTGGAAGCCATAATCTATGGTAGGTTCATTTAAAGCTGGAAGGAAAACATCAAACCCCACCACATTATATGACTGTATCTAAACATGTATTTTTATATGGCTCTGTCTCAATTGGGCAACAAAGAAATCATGACTTCTGCACTTAAAACTGCTCCTGTTTCCCTGGCTGACTTCTCATCCTCTATCAAAGGCTGAATGAATAATTTGCAAGATGCAGCAGCGCTGTCACAAAACACTCCTTTAAGGATGAATGTTTCACTCTGGACAAAACCATTACATCAATAAAGCAAATTATGAGACAAACACACACCAGAACAGGTTTTCTCCTGCTGGTTACACAGCCAGAAATCAGACAGCCGTGTTTGCTCCTCTAATAAACACATTCCACACACGCCCCCAATGTTTTGCAGTCCCGAAGTAGGGCACAGCTATTCATTAGACACATTCCCTTCCCCAGTTGTGTGTTCTGCATACGCTGCCACTTCCCTGTAATGATCTTAATCTCTGGTGGATAAACCAGGATATTTTGACCCAGATCCTCAGTTTGCAATAGCTGGCAGAGCCCTACTGGCATCGCTGATGATTTCAGAAAACTTCAGACTCTTTCCTAGTCTCTGCTAGGAAATTGCAGCAATAATACTCAGATTTCTGATTATTCAAACTCCAATTTAAATTGGTGCAGAACCCAAAAGTCAGTTGCAGCATTCTGTGTGCTTGGGCTCTGCCTGCCTCCAACACCTCAGCAGTGCCACTGAGCACCAGCACAGTTACAGGGATGCTTTTTTTTTGAATTCCCTTATTCTTCAGAATGCACATTTTAACACAAATGACACATTCATGCTGAGGATTCTGTGAAGAATTTCATTACACATTTAATAAGTAACACATGTAAGGCCTTTAGCACTACCCTCAGTCAATGCTGGATTAGACCTTTTTGTACCATTTGTGGTTCTTTTGGGAGGGGAAAAAATCTGTATTTTTTAAAATAACTAGCACTGGCACAGCTGAAAACCCCTGATTACAAGAGATGCTGATGGTTCTTATTGAATGATCCAAAATATCCTGAGCACCTCACAGGAGAACCATCTTCTGCACCAGGAGAAGAATCCATCACTTTTACACTGATCCAGGTTCCCTGTTTATCTCTGCTCCTTGTTTATCCCTGTCTGCTTTTGGTACAACAACGTGAAGGTAAAAGGTCACATTCTCCACGGAGATACATTTTATATTTACTTTTTATTAAATAATTATGGCATGGCATGAAGTTTAAATATTACAGGAGATAATCAAGTGGGAATTGAGCAGAGAAAACCCAGACCTGAGAATTTAGTCTTGGCTATACTTAGAATGTCTTTGCTCTCCACTGGGAGCCATTCTGGTTTGCTCAAGGAGTTTAATAATACACATTTCAACTGCCACAGAATCTACATCCCGTTTGGGAAGAGGAGTTTTTGGGGGGTGGGCTATTTTGCCAATAATCCTGAGAATTAGAGGCCAATTGTCACAAGAGCCTAAACATCATTATGTGGCATTTCTCTTCTTGATCACAAATCTGTTCATTTAAGTGATATATCTAAAGCTAAAGAAATGTGAAATATATCGGAATTCAAACATGTGAAATATACAAGGATTCAAATATATATCAAGTTACTAAAAATAGCTAGTGGGAATATGCAAAATGCTAATTCAGGAAGAAGAAGCTGGCTATTATTCAACAAATATTTTTCCAATGGATTGACATGGACAGTTTCATCCTGATAGATCAACAGCAGCAAATCATTTCCCAACAATGCTGAATTGTTCACAGGACCCTGCCATCCTGAATCAATGTGTACATTATGTCTTCCAGCACAAAGGTTTTTCTGTACAGCCTGCAACAAAATTGCCCACTACTGGTTTTACTCATTAATGGAACAAAAATATCTCTGTTGTGAAATCCTGCGAAAAACCACTACCAAGTATTTGGAGGAGTAAATGACACCTTCCCAAGTGGAGGCCAAACATGAAGAATCCACCAGCAAGTTTAAGCAGCTTCCCAACAATCCCACTTCCACTGAAGAAAGAGCTGCTGGGTCAGGAGTGATTTATCTGTGTGTTACATAGAAATATGCCAGAATTATATCCAAATGCTTTGGGGTTCATGGATTCAGAGACCATAAAGGGGTCTGACACAAAGCAGGCTGTTCATTGTTTCCTAGAAATCAGATATCTGAAATGAAACCCCTCAGAAAATGGACTCAGGTACAAAATCCCTTTGGCAATCCTCAAATCCAGAGTTTCAGGGCTCTCCCTAGCACGAGTGTTTTAACAACAGATTTGTTGTATAAGAGTAGGGACAGATCTAAATGTGTCACCAACTACCTGACTTTATTTATGTGAGGCTCAGAGTCTGGACAGTGCTTCCTCTTTGATGTTCTTTACCCCTCAAAACCTGTGTTTTCATCTCAAACACATCTCTTCTGACTTGCTGGAATAGGAGGGGAAGAAGAATTCTCACAGTTGAGCAAGTTCTGCCAGGACACTTGTCTGCATCAGCCAGAGCTGCAGCATCAGCTCAGCCCCTCTCTGCAGGGCCTGGCTGTGACACCCCCCCAGCACAGTGCTGACCCCGGGAGGGTTCCCTGTCTCACCACACGTCACAGCACCTCAGGCTGTGCAGGAGGAGCTGCAGCCGCTCGTGCTGGTATCACCCTGGGAGATGTGGGAAAGGGAGAGCAGTTTTTGCAGTGGGCTGCCCAACCCTTAAGGTGTTAACAGAGAAAAGGCACCTGTGGTATCAAAGTTTGGATCATGGAATGGTTTGGGTTGGAAGGGACCTTAAAAATCATCTTGTTCTACCCTGCTGCAATGGACAGTCACACCTTCCACTAGTCCTGGATGCTCCAAGCCCTGTCCAACCTGGCACTGGACACTCCCAGGGATGGGGCAGGCACAGCTTCTCTGGGAAACCTGTGCCAGGTCCTCAACACTCCCACTGGGGGGAATTTCTTCTGTAAATCTCACCTAAATTTCCCCTCTTTCAGTATGAACCCATTACTCCTTGTCCTGTCACTACAGATGTTGATGAAGGGTCCCTCTCTGGTTTTCCTGTCAGCCCCCTCAGATCCTGGAATTCTCTATTTCCCCATGTCTCTCACAGGCTAAAGCAGTGACAGCAGGAAATGCTTTGCCACCTCATCTTTTTCTGTCCAAGGGAACTCACTCTTCCAATTTATAGAGCTCTCTTCATCCTTGTAAGTGTTGTTTCTCACAAGCAGAAAACAAGAGCTTCAATCTCCTTACAAGATTTAGCAAACCAGCCCCTTCCCATCCCTGGATCCTGGCACGGAGGCTGATACAGCACAACCCAGAGCCCAGCCTCTCCCACAGATGATTTTATATTGCTTTGCTCTGACAAGGTAACCCCTGGAGGATTTCTGCTCAGCAAGGAAAATTATGTTCCAAATCTCCCTGATATACACATTTCCAGGTTAGCATCTCTGTGACAAAGTAAATGCAGAGCTGTGATCAAAGCTGAACTAGGAAAGCCTACAAGATGTGCCCTCAGCTGGCATAAAGTGGTGTGTTATTAAAGCCAAGGGAACTATAATAGAACCACTTACAGCAGCAGAGAATTTGAATTTGTGTCGTATTAAAAGCAGAATATGAGGCTACAGCAAGATTAGCAGCAGAGAACAAATGTCTTTTTATTCCAGGAGCAGCTGATGAAAGGAAAGCAATTCAGAACAGGGATGTGTGCAACCTGTATCCTCACTGGATGAAGGCACACACGGGGACCAAGTGCTTGGGTGTGCTTGTGGGATCTCATCCTGTTGAGATTTTTACCTCAGCTGCTTTTAGAGAGGGTTTTGACCTCAGACCGTGGTGGACAGTATACTGAGGGGGGGCACCTAGTTGGGTCACAGTGGGAACTGTGAGTTCTTGGGAGCCAGTATGCTAACAGTTCTACCCTATTTTTGGTCAAGTTTCCAGTTCTTTTTCTCTGTTGGTACAGGATCTTTTTCTTATAAGGTCCTGTTCTGAGTTCACGTTCAGGATCGGACCTTTGCCCTCAGATGCCCCTATACCTGGCTGCATTTGCCCTGCCCACGAGTCTTTGGAATCTCTGTAACCTGTAGTCGCCACGTTTTGTTATTTTCATTATTAAAGTTTTATTTTCCGGGCTGGTCCATCACTCCCATTCCTCATTTTTAGCCACTTTCTCCCAGCCAAGCCGAGCAAGGAGATCACAGTGAGCTTCCAAGCTCCTTATGTGGTGATTTAAAAACAGGATTTTGTCTCTCATTTTAAGTATTTCATCTCTTACTTCAGCTGAAGTTGGTTCAGCCACTGCCATTCCCCTCCAGTGAGCCATTTCTCTGGGTTTTTGCTGTACTCTCCAGCACATTGTTACATGTCTACAGAATCCTGCTGACTTCACTCTGACAGGAAGTTTTCCATGTGGGAACCTTATGGAAAAGTCCACACTTCCCATTTTGGTGAGGAGAGGAGGCCGGGTTGCAGCACCCCTGGGTGAGAGCACTTGGGAGTGGAAACACTGAGAGCCCCAGAAGTGCAGCAGTGCCAGCACAGCACACTTTGCAGAAGCCTGGCATAAAGACACATTACAGGACACAGATGAGCTCCCACAAGAGCCTCACTGTGCCAGTTAGATTTACCCTTGAAATGTATAGCTAATTTTTACATTAATCTTTCCAACAGTTTCAAACAATGTTAGTGTCACTCTTTCCAAAAAAAAAAAAAAAAAAAAAAAAAAAAAAAAAAAGAAAAGCTCAAATACAATCATGTTGAACATAAATATTTGGTTGTATATTCTGTAGGCAGACCCATGTTATGACAGCAGTTGCGAAAAATATTAATGTGCAGTAAAAATGCCTTATGAAACCTCCTCCTTTCACCCCCAAATGGCACCATTGCCAGAGTGGCCTTGGACGAGCAAGAGGGTGAATTAATAAACTCATTAATTAATCAAACCAAGGGTTGTCAATACCAATGACCAGCACAGCTCCTGCAGCCCCAATCCCAGGCACCCACCTGTGTAAATGAACCTGCCTGGTGCTCCTTTGCAGAACTGTTTGGATTTGTAGGATAGTGTCACCTCCACCACACCGGGAATGTGCCGCGGAGGCGTCTGGACGCGGATGGCGTGAGGGGTGATCAGCTGGGAACGGCAACAGGAGAGGCACCATCAGGGTCTGTTCTGTCCTTTTACTTCACGAGTAAATTACAGAAAAGTTTGGGTTGGAAGGACCCTAAAGATCATCCAGTCCCACCCCCAGTGAACACCTTTCTCTATCCCAGATTTCTCCAAGTCCTGCTCAACATTGGACACTTCCAGGGAGGCAGCAGCCACAGCTTCTCACAGAATCACAGAATCACAGAACTTCTAGACTGGAAGAGGCCTTTAAGATCGAGTCCAGCCCATGTTGTAACACCTCAACCAGATCATGGCACCAAGTGCCACATCCAGTCTTTTTTTAAATACATCCAGTCTTTTTTTAAACACCACCTCCCTGGGCAGATGATTCCAGTATTTGACCACTCTTTTTGTGAAAAACTTCCTCCTTAATTCTAGCCTGTATCTCCCTTGGCACTGCTCTCCCTCTCTGGGCTACCTGTACCAGGGCCTCACCATAAAAAATGTCATCCTCATTTCCAATTCTACCCTTGCTCACTTTAAAACCATTCTCCCTTGTCCTGCCATCACAGGCCTCAGTAAAAACACTTTTTAAAAAAATTATCACTATAGATCAGCAGAGGGATGCACCTGGGTTAGATCCTAGCCTCCAGGGAGAGGATCACACATTTTAGGATGAATTGTCATCAATAAACTTGTACTGTTAAGCCCATTGGTTAATTGATGGCTTATTCCTGGGTCCAGATGGATTTTTTTTCTCCTTCCCAAACTTAAACCCTTTCTTTATTTCTCTACCTTTGCTTATGTAAATGAACCTCTGTAAATAATAAACTCTGTGGAAAAATTGATAGAGTAACATTCATTAAGTTCATCAGTGGGTAAAAAAATATATGGGAATATCAAATGTCTCCTTCAGCTCATATCAGGAGACAATTTCTAATAATTTCTTTGATTTTAGAGACACCTAGAATTGTTCAGTTTCATTCTGGGTATCATTCAATAATATCACAGAGCAAGGAAAACATGTTCCATAAATTCCCTTCACACAGGTTTCTATGTTCCACCTCACACAGCACCATGGAACAGGAACAGGAATTAACCCCGTTCCTCCTCAGAAAAGGGAAGTCTCCCCAGCTCAGGAGCAGAGGGGCAGCTGTACCCACCTCACTCCACACCAGCATGGTCCCAAACACCACCTGCAGCCCATCGAAGAAGTTGTCCCCGATGATGATCACCATGGCTCCCCCCGTGGTCCACCCCTCGCTTGGGCTGATGGCTTTGATGCAGGGCGTGGCTGCACAGAACAAAAAAAACATCCAAACAGCTCTTTAAGGTGTCTTTTTTCATTCCCCCAACAGTTTTGAGGCCTGGGTGTAAATCCCTGAAGCAATTCCTGTGAGCATCAAACATCCCAAGTGATGCAAAAACTGCAGCTGAGAGCAGCTCCACCCATCCACACCTGGGAATTCCTGAATTCCCACTGCTAGCAGAGGCCTAGGACAAGTCCCTTCTAGCCATTCACCCATGAAGGCTTCTCACCACTCCACAACTCCCAGAATGTTGAAAAATAAATAAATAAATAAATAAATAAATAAATAAAGGAGTGTTTTCTGCCTTGCAAGTGTTAATTACTTGCCTATTCATTACTGGCACTTAACATCGTGTCATTAAAGCCTAACAGGCCAACTGTAGTGGGTGTAAAAATGAAATGCTTAAATGACTGTGCAGAGACTGCTTAAAAAAACAAAATAACACCCACTGATTAGCATATGATCCCACAGACACAAACCCTGTGGAAAAAAGGTAGAGTCACATTCATTACATTTATCAATGGGTGAAAGAAGGTATGGGAATATCAAATGTCTCCTCCAATTCATATCAGGAGATAATTTCTAATAATTTTCTTGATTTTACAGAGCCTTTTTTTTTTTTTTTTTATTTCTCTCTTCCATATGTTCAAGGCCTATGGACTATGCATCCCATCAGGAACCCAATATGGTTTCCAGGCCATAACCAAAGTCAATCCATCACTCCATTCCCAATGTTGACAGGGTCAGAGGTGGAGGGGAACTTTGGCAGTGCTCCAAAAACATGAGACTCCTTTGAACAGCCAGTCAATCACATCCAATCAGTCAAGGAAAAACTGGATGGCTTCCTAGGCTAGGAATCCTGGGATTTTCCTTCTACCATTTCACTGCCCGCTGGGGGAGAATTAACACCACTCTGAATTCTTTACTGATTCAATCATTTTCTTCCAGTTCATTAATTCTTCTTTTAGGTTGATACAGGGCACAGTTAAGAAGTGGGGCAGCAAAACATTATAATGAAATAATATCCTTGCTTGTCTTTTCTACTAACATCACCAGCTCTTCTCACTTTCAGGGGCTGCAGGAGAGGGAAAAGCAGGCACTGATAGCACTTTCCAGCATTTTCCAGTAGTTTTTGAGCACTGTCTGCGTGAGGGAGGTGGAATGTTTCGGGAACGAAGAGGAGAGGAGGGGCTGAACATTTTGAAACTTAACAGATACAAGAATTTGTAATTGCTTGAATACAGTCCCCAACCCATCCTGGAGCTGGCCATGAGTCTGGCTTAGCCAAACAAACCCACATCAATTAGTGTCAGCTCCCTCTGCGCATCGTTAGGCTCCGTGCACAGTTTGTTTAAGGGAACCAGTGACACTTTTTCATACACATCTTGTGCTGGAACGGCTCTGTTTAACTAAGATGTCATCTTGCCTAATTTGCCTGAAATCAAATCTATCCCAGCTGAATGAGAGGGCTGAAATTTAGATAATACTTGGTGTTTCTGTGTTTTTCATCTTTGCAGTACATACTAATTAATAAATTGCAGGGGGGTGGGGAGTCAGTCCCTTAGATGTGAGGAGGATCATATTTTGCATGCAGTAGACACTGTTTTCCTGCCTCTGCCTTCTCCAAACCCCCCGAGGCTCTGCAATTCCCCCTTAGCTCTCCTTCCCTCCTGAAAACAAACAGAAATGGAAGAACGGGTAATTTCTGCTCTGCTCTCCAGACAAAACTCCCACCTTCCGAGGGGTCGAGTCTTCTTGCTCTCCGCCCGTGCTTGGAGTTGTTGTGCACAAACATGTTGTCAGACACTGCCAGCACATGCCCATCCACGTTCACTGTTGTTGATAGCACCACCTGGATATTTAGAAAGAGAAGGAAAAAACAGCCAGGTAAACAATTTATTTGAAATTCAACTTGTTAAGGATTAATTATTCAGTTCAGCTAGAGCCTTGTTTTGTAAAATGGCAGCGCAGCCTGCAGGGGTTTAAGAGGGGGAGAAAATATTTTCAGCCTTCATTCAGTGCATTAATTGCATTTAACACAGCATCCTGTGAGCTGTATAGAAGCTTTGCTGTTAAATGACCCAGCTCCTGCACGATGGAAACTCCATGAAAACAGGACCTAATATCATGCCTGGTTTTGATATGTGAGTGCATGGTGCCTCCTGAAAAATCATCTGAGCCTGAGGACCCCAAACCAAGCAGTAGGTTTTAAACCTCAATGTCCATGACTAGGCTCCAATCTGAACTCTTAGAGGAAATAACTGTATATATTAATTAATCCCACTTTAGTTTTTACAGTATCCAAAACTCTAAATCCCATCAATCCAGATAAAGATGTGTGACTTCAAACTACAAGCTTTTAGGAAAAACAAACAGTGTTTTAACTCCTGAAAGAAAATGCCCTCTGACTGAGTGGTTTTGACCATTAGTTGGTGTAAATGAGCTTAATTCCATCCCACTGCCACACCTACAGTAATGCACAGCCATGGAGAGTCAAACCCTGAATGTGTTCATGGATTTTCACAGCCTCAGATGTCACAGCCGAGGTAAGAGAATGTCAGGCTCTAATTGTTGATAAAACTCTATCCAGCACAGAGCAGGAGAGACCTTGCCCTCCCCAGGCTTAGGCGAGCTTAAAGAATACTTTCTTTCTTGAGACAACTCTAATTCATTCCAAAAGGCTCTTGTCATCCTGTACTCTTATACTTCTCAAGCATTCTTGTCACAGAATGTGTTGCTTTTGTGTGCCAACTGATTTCCTCATTCCCATTAGGGTGGGGTGTGACTCCGTCCAAAGGGAACGTTTCCTGCATGACATAGCTGAGCCCACTCAGATGCACTTCATTATTTTCCCTTAAACAATGGAAATAAATTTTAGTCTCTCACTGGCCAGCCCAGAACACACTGTGGCAAAGGGGAATAGGCCTGAATTATTCCAGTGTCTGAAATATTTACGACAAGTGTTTAAATTGCAACCAAATGTAAATAAAAAGTGTGTCTTGTATATACAGTTACACTGTGGAATAGACATCTCTGAGCTCACTCACATGAGTGGGATAAATACACACCCACCTGCTCCCAGGAAGGGAGAATAGAGGCAGACTTCAAGTGTTCACACATAGAAGAGAATCATGGAATGTCCTGAGTGGAAAATGGACCCACAGGGATCATCCAGCCCAGCCCCAGGCCCTGCACAGACACCCCAAAATCCCACCCTGGGCATCCCTGGCAGCACTATCCAAAGGCTCCTGGAGCTCTGGCAGCCTCGGGGCCGTGCCCATTCCCTGGGGAGCCTGGGCAGTGCCAGCACCTCTGGGGAAAGAGCCTTTCCCAAAATCCAACCTTTCCCTGGTATGCAGCCTGACCCTCCCTGGCACAGCTCCAGCTGTTCCCTGGGTCCTGTCACTGTCCCAGAGGAGAGGTCCGTGTTGGAATCCCCATTTGGGTTGTGCACAGCACAAGAGCCACATTTTGGTAGGAGATATAGAGACCCCCACAGCAATGGCAGAGTAATGGCAAGAACCAGTCCAGAAGACAAGTGCTGAGCGTCCTCTGCTCCTTGAGCCAGCAGGAATGGAAGATGCACTTCTAGACCTCTCTCCATGTGTGGTTCCATTTTTATCCACCTCTCCCATCCATGACAGGAGGGCCAGAGCCACTTGGCCTGTCACAGGTGGGGACCCAGGATAAATAAACACAGCATTCTTGTGGACAGGACGAGATGCAAAGTTCAGATTTGGAGCAGAACCTTCTCAAAATTTGGGACTTTTTTTTGCTGTAACCTTAATTTCAGCAGAGACCTTTGTCATTGCTACACCACCACCACCCAACTCCTCATCCATGGTGTGGAGAAAGGACACATGAGATCATGGACATCAAAAGGACTGAATTTCTTCACTTTGCTCCAGCTGTTCCCTCTTGCCTGATGGAGATCACAATACAATTGTTTTATTCTGGAGATTAAAAACCAATGTTTTATGGATAAAAGGAGGAGGAATGTACATTCCACCATGGTCTCTAACTCCCAGGCCCTTCCCTTTCACAAGCCAACTGCTTTCCCCCAGTGAGTATTTCCTGGGTCATGAAGGGTGACCCTTTCCATCTGGAATCAATCAGTCAACTCCTGACAACTTCCTGAAACACCTCACTCCATTTCCTGTTCTCTCCCCCTTCCCTCTTTCCCCCTGGTTTGCTTCACTCTTCAAAACTGCAGGCCACAGCAGCTTAATGTTAGAGGGTCAGACACAGTTAGACTCCAAAACACTACACAAGAACACCTTTGACCTTCAAAAATCTTTACATCTTAGCCAAACAAATCAAGGTCAACATTTCTTACCATTACCTTGTTAACCATTTCTATGCACTTTTGCCCAAACCCTCCTGAACACGTATTTATCAACAACACTTGTTCTCCCAACATCGTAAAATAGTCCAAGCCCTATTGTAAAACCCCTGTATTTAGTGCTGATGAAAGGTGATGTGCAAACTTCCCTGGAGATTTAAATTCTGACTTTTGCCCACTTTTGCCCAAGCACTGACGAATGGTTCTGGTGGGTTTTTCTTTTCCTGCCCTGATGGCACCACTTCTTTTGTATGATTATTTGGCTTCTTTGCCTATTTCTCAGTGGATGATCTTTTACCAACTACCATTTGTTAATGCAAAATTTAACCTAAAGGGAATTATCTGAGAACAACAAAACAGGTCAGGTAGGCCATGGATTCTGGTAAGTGGGGCTGAGGGTCAAATTTTAGGCACAGACAGCATAGAAACTTAAGATTTTGTGCCACCCAAAAGCTGGACCAAACTGTCACCGCTGCTGAGGTTTCAGAGCACAGCAAACAAGAAGGAAATAGAGAGCGCAATGTTATTCCTTCATCCTCCCAAGCACAGATCCCATCTCCCTCAGAACACTGGGGGAATTACAGGATTCTAAGCTGTTTTCACACTCCTTGAGGTTCTCCCTGCCAGTCTGCAAAGGTCTTCTTATCAGCTGAGAGGCCACAGCCATAAACCAGTGATTCCCCAGCAGTCCTGGGGAAATGCTGGAGCTGTATCTCCACATTATTTTTGTTTCCAGGTGGATTTCTGCAGTGCAATCCTCGCTCAGAACCCACAGGGAGGGTTCACCTCCCGTGACATCCAGCCAAAGTGTCTTTAGCACTTTAAACTCGGCTTCTCTGAGCTCTACTGCCCCTCTTTCTCCTCCCTGCACAGCTCAGGGGGTTGTGTTTCTTTACAAACCTTCACCTGGGTACTACAAATTTTCCTCCCCCAACTGTGTTATATCAGTATTTTTATATTCTAAAGTGTGCTGCTCTTCAAATCACAGATATGCAAATCCATTCACATCCCCAGATATAAAATCTGTATCAGTCACAGACACCTATTTAGACATATGGTACAAACATTCCAGGCATACAGGCATTTACTTACATGTAACATATCTCATCACTGTGTAAATGATCTCTCTCAAAAAATTCCTGTTACCATTCCAAGTGTGGAAAAAATTCTTTATGACATTGTACATCTGGAAACAATATTGCATTCCTGATGCACTTTCCCTTGTAACTCTCTAGTCACAGCACCATTTTAACTTCTCAAAAAAAAAAAAAAAAAAAGCTGCTATGAGGATTTAAAATTATTATTATTGTTATTATTATTGCTATTATTATTATTGTCATTGTTATTATTGTTATTATTATTATTTTCCAGCTGAGTGGAAGGAAATATGTCAGGCCTCATCCTGCTGCCTGGACTTGGACAGGGCTCCCATTGATGTCAACAGGAATTTTGGTTGAGGGAGTAACACAGGAGGAGAGCCTGGATATGATGGGCTTGCCTCAGAGTTGGATTAGGAATAAGATAAACAATGTGAAAAATGCCTGCAGCCTCACTCTCCTCAAAACTTCCATGGAATTCTTTGGGAAATCCTCTCCAGGCCCTGAGCCTGCAGACTGGGGGCTGACAGCAAACTGGACACTCAGCCCTCACCCCAGGGAATCTGAAGGTTCTTGGGACACAGGGGTTGGACACCACTCCTGGGTCACTGACACCTTGTCTCCTGCTATTATCCACAGACAAACCAAGGAGCTGCTTTCCTAAAATCATTTGCAACCATTTCCACCTTCTGCCTTTGACACTCGTCTTGTTTTAAAGCCTGGTGATGAGGGAATTTATGGCTTACAGCCTAAATTTATTCCTAGTCAGTTTATGCTTAACATTAGCTTTAAAATTATAATTTCCCTTCCTGACCTTCCTGAGGATAATTTCAGAGAGCAGTTCCACCCCTCCTCAGTGCAAGCATTTGAGCCAAGCTCTTGTCCAGCCCCTGTCCCCTCAATGACCCATTCCTGCACCTGTTCCAATGTCATTTTGCTCTCCTTTGCCTGTAGCTAATCCAGTGTATTGTACCCAAACAAGAAATCAGAGGGGCCCAACACAACAAATCCGCCTCCTTTCTGCTGGCAGTCTGAGACTGAACGGATCTCATTTGTGGTTTGTTTTTCATGGATGAGACATCACTCTGGGAACTCTCTTTCCCCATGGATATTTGGCCTTCAGATCTGAGCACATTAAACTCCTTGAGTACTTTTTCTCTTGCCATTGAGTCAGTCCTTCCCTTACTCACGCAGAATATAAAATAACATCACCTTTTGTTGGCTCAGCCAGTACCCGATGAAGAAATCTGCCCCCTCCAGTAACAGGCCCAGGCTCTGCTGACACCAGCTCCATTTGTTTTGCAATCTCTACCTGGGAAAGTAGTCTCCCATCATGATTATTCCATGTAGTATTCACCTCTACCAGCAGTTCAGTGATCCCTGTCCATATCCCAGCCTGACCACGGGGGTCTCTGGCACATTCCTTCCCCATCAGCCTGAGCAGGATTCCGATTTACAGCACTTATGTTTTATCCTTGCCATCCTTTTTGCTTCCTACAGCCTACATTCCTAACTCCCAATATCATCCCACCCCTCTTAATCATTTTCCATTTCCCTGAGTGACACAGACCCCTCAGAGCTCTGCATTAGAGCGAGCTGGGTGAAATCCCAGCCCCAGCCAGCTTTGCTCACGTGCCTGATGATGAACTGATCCAACCACTCCGAGGTCAGGAAGGAAAACTCCCCAGGGGTGCACCTTGTTATTTTTCCTTTCCCTTCCTCCCTAGAGCATCTAGAGGAGGGAGGTACCTGCCAGAAAACATTCCATGTCATGTTTTCTGCTGAAAACAGAGGGCAATTACTGACCTTTCTCGTTTTGCTCCTAAAAAAGGACATTGGTTCAAAGCTGACCACTGTTAGAACCAATGTCTGCTGCTCATACCCTCCCTGGCACTGCAGGACCTGTTTAATCACTGTGCTCCTGGAGGAAACCGAATTCCCAATCAACAGGAGCCTAATGTGTGAGCACCAGGTCTCAGCTGAAGCATTTCAGCTGAAGAGCCTCATCTTAATTCTACAGAATTATTGTGCCCCTTTACACACCAGTCGTTACCATTAAAGTATCACTGGGCTTCAATCAAGTTCTGCAGGAGAATTCCCCATTAAATGGAGGGCATCGTTTTGGGGGGTTTTATTTTTATTTTAAGTTCCATTCCCGGGAGAATCCTTCGCTGAGAACACAGCCCTGACTAACAATACCTATGTAAACTCAATTTGCAGAGGAGATGGACTCAAATCCTCTATTTGAATAAGTGATTTTAGGATGATTTTTGCCTCAGTCTTCCACCCACCAGTTTTATTTGGAAATATTTTAATTTATAAATAAGCAATATTTGTTTCAGTTAAATTCACAAGGACATACTGCTCTATCTCTGTGGGTTTTGGGCAGCCATCAAGTAACTATGAAAGTACTCCTTAGTTCTAGAAATATTCCCTTCCCTTTAGTTCTAGAATCTGTTTCCTTGCTTTAGCCACTGACAGACACTGAAATCACACTGAATAGTGATTCACAATAAAATCATGTTACTACAGGGGAAAAAAAACCTCACTAAAATAATGATCACACACTCCTTAACTTCTGATGTAAAACATAGTTTTCAACAGCACAAAATCATTGCATTTGGTTAAAAAAGGAAGGCAAGAGGATCACAAAGCAGCTGGTGTTGCTCTCCAGCCGAAAGAATTATAGTAAAAAACCCCACAACTGTTCAGGCATCTGGAGCTGCATTAAATTTACAACACAATGTTAATGTAGCCTTTCCTCCCCTTTCTCTCCCCACCCCCCTTTTTTTAAATGATGCATGTGAAACCTAACATTTAATTTACCTTAATATATTACCAGTATAGTATGAAATATCTAAATCACGTACTGGCTCTGGAAGTGAGGCTGGGGCCAGGCTTGGACACTGGATCCCAGTGCCTTGGAGCTTTGGGGATGAGCCAAGCCAAGCCCTAACTGTGCAGCTTCACACCCATCTTTAATCAGAAGCATTAGCTTGACACGTTTCCAGTCATGAGTAACCATTGCTCCGTGCTGGAAAACTCAGTAGGATGCATTGTAAGGCACTATTTCCACACCTCATATTTGTACTTTTGTCTCGTCAACAAAGCCTCAGGTCTGGGCTTTCATTCAGGCTCTAATAAAGAGGAAAGAATGGTGCTGGATGAGACCCTTTCAGGCCCAGGTTTCAGTAGTGATCTAAATGGGAACTTTGATAGAGGGATTTTCTCTGCTGTTTTGTTTAATAACCACAGACTAAAAGGAGCATCCTGATGTCTCCTGGAGGTTTGACAAGCACTACTCCATTGAAAATGAAAATATTTGGTTCTGCAGAAGAACACAGATAGATAGGAATTAAAACACACTCAGATGAGCATTGCTGCAGAATTCTGTTTGCATAAGGAAAGTGAAGTGCTTGGGAGTGTCTAGAAAAGGAGGGACTTAATAACAACAGCTGTACAAATAATTTATTGGGGGAAAACCGGGAGAAGTCTTAGATATGGCCCAAGACTGAAACATGAAATATGAATTAAATAATGAAATGAATAAACCACTCTACTGCGCTGTGGTTTTTGACCCTGCTTTTACTCTGTAAAAGAGGTTTTCTCACAGGTTTCTGCACTGACAGGATGCACAACTATCCCTTCAAACCTAATAGACAACTCTGCACATTCATTACTTTGCCTGGTGAATATCTTGAGAATTAAAATGAAAATTGACATGTCCAAAGTGTGCAAACACACCAGTAATATTTTAAAGTAATTTTTTCTCCCTCACTTTTGACTTTCAGGGTTGCTGACAGACCACATCCAAGCAGCAGGCAAAAAGAATTTATCAACATTTTAAAACAGAAAACCCAACAAAGAAACCCCAAAAACCCCAAAAAAAAAAACCAAAAAAACCCAAAACAAAAAAAAAACAAAAAACCCCAAACCCAAAAACATAACCAAAAATAAAAGAAGTGTCCAGAAGCCACTGGAGTGTTTAAGAGCACTCCTAACTTTGGTTATGTTCAGGGAGGTAATGATGATATCCTTAGAAACCAGAAGGCAGACAGAAAACAAGCTGTCTTTGCCCATTGTCCTTACTGTTCATCATGGCTAATTTGCTTTGGAACACGGAGCTTTGTTATTCCCAAGGTGTCAAATTTTAGCAATTTGAGCCACTTTTTGTATTTTTTATCCACACTGACCTCTGCAGCCCAGAACAAAGCTCAGCAACCCACGTGTCCAGCTTTGAGGCAGCCTGAACGAAGATCCTGCTCTCACTCAAAACCTCAAGAATTCTGCGATTTGTCTCAAAGGTTTTCATTCTGTAACTCTGAGAAAAGGTTGACATGGGCGGGGGGGGGCGGGGATTGATAAAAAGTAAACTGAATGTAATGGTTTTAAAGCCTGATCTTGATTAATTTGGGGGCTTTAACTGAACTCTCACTGAGACTCAAAGGGGACAAACTCCCATGGAACTGGACGTGCAGGAGGAGTTGAAGTTATCCCAGAGAAACAGAACCCCGGAGTTTCACTTGGCTCTGTTTTCCCAGCTTGGCATGTTTGGAGGCAGAAAACCCAGCTGAGGAGTCTATCCCAGCACATTCTCCTCAATAAAGTGCTGATTTTGGGACGGAGATCAAAAGCAAGGCCAGGCTCTCTCCCATGCAGGAGAGCTGCCAGGTGGATGGGCTGAGGAATGAAGGAATTCCATCCTCATCCATGTGACTCTGCAGGATTTGGTTCTGTTTCCCTGTTTAAGGTTTCCCTGGACATTTGAGGCTGTTGGGCTCTGTCACATCCCCATTCAGGTGAGGTGACATTAAAAATAATGCTAAGCCCACAGAGAGATTTTTGCCCATCCACCAAAAAGTTGGATCCAAACTCCTCCTTCAGCTCAGCATCTGACGGAAATCAAGGATTTGAGGATTTTTTGGGAGTAGCCAGCATGGGTTTGAAATCAGAGCTGAATTTCTCCAACATTCTGATGTGTTTGGGTCCAGAATTTCTCTTTTGGCAGTTGCAACCAATATTCTGTGTGTTATGGCAGTGCCTCAGGTCCCTAGGTGTTAATCAGGAGAGCTCTGGGCACAATATTTTTACAAACTCAGAACAAACCTCCCCAAAAAAGATCATTTATGTTTCCTGACATTCCACAATCAGTTGTTCTTGCTGGCTCCAAAAGCCAACAAGATATGTTTACATGCTGTAAAAGAGGTTTTCTTTTGCTTTCCAGATTTTTTAGCGTTCTTGGCAGATGATAACTAATTGCTGGTTCTTTTCTTTATGGAAATTGCCACTTGAAAAAAAACTCAGTATAAATTCCCTAACAATGAGCACCTCTTTTTTTCTTATGTCTTATCATCTCTAAAAAACACAGCGTGAAGAAGTCACTGCAGTCTCTTTAAACTACTGGTGAAAAAAATTAGGTTGGTCAGGAATTTTTCTTTAAACTTCTTCATGCTCTAAACAAAAAGCTAATAAAACTTTTTTTTTTTTTTTGGCTGCATTTCTTTAATTTTTCTGATCTTTCAGAAGATTTGTTTTGCAGGATTTCTCGTAAAAGTCGAAACTTTTTTTTTACAATTATTAAATTTTTCATTGCTAGCAGACGCGGAAGAAAAATAAAAACCACTTTTTTCTACGAGAACGCATTTTGATGGAAAGTCTGAAGCAACTCTGTAAATTCCTGTGGCGTTTTAACTCCATTTATAAATGAGGAAGCTCATGTAAGCTTTGGAATCAGAGATGAAAAGAGGGGGAAATGGCTCATCAAAGGTCACCCAGCAAGGCCGGGGTGCAGCCACCTGAAATCCTCGCTGTGCCTCAGTTTACTCAGAGCCATTCCCAGCCCTGCTTTCCTCCCTCCCGGCAGCGCATCCCGGCCGCCAGAGCTGCACCATCACTATTCCAGCTCCTTGGTTTGTTGCTGTTGTTTTTTAAAGGAGCTGAAGGGAGGATGTGAGGGTGTTAGGAAGCAAAAAAAAAATAACAGGCAAAGAGGTAGGAAATGAAGAGGTTGCTTGTGTAGCACGTAGAGAGCTACTTTGAAAAATTCTGAGGCATCTAAATATCACAAGCACGATCCCTGCTGTGGGCAGCTGTATGTGCGAGTGCTTTGCCCGAGGGTGTCAAATCAAATATCCACTGCTGCTTGGTACAGTACAGCACTTCCCCCTGGGGATTCAGGGTGGAAAAAGAGGGAAGGGAAAGAAAAAGGGAAAAAAGGGTTTAAACACAACAAATGGAGAAAAACTTTAACGCTGTCTGATATGGCTTTTCATAGATTGTCATCATGTTTGTTAGGAGCAATGTAGGAGAGAGGAGATGGGAAAGGAAGAGAACAGAGACAGACAGGTCAATGCTGAGCCTTGTAAGACTTACCTGGAACCGTCTCATATCTCTTGGGTTTCCTGCTGTTTTCAAGCAATTCTGATTGCACTTGAGAAAAAATTTTAGGAAGAATCTGGAAAGAGAAAGAACCACATCACTTCTATTAACCACAGCAAAAGGTGTTGTTATATTCTGGTTTAAAATGCACATTTTGCATGATAATGGATCTTACAGGACTACAAGAATTTATCAAAACACAAACAAACCAAACTCTAATAAACAGAATTTACAAAAAACAACAGTTAAAGTATAACCAGTGTGACTGAAATCCACCGTGGTGTAAGTGAACATAATTCCTCTGATCTGCACCCACTCCCTCTCTGCAGGCTTGACCACACAATTTTAGTCTCTTTCTTATCTCTCCCTCACATTCCAGGTCTTTCTTTGGCTGTCTGCAGGGACTTTCCATGAAACAATATAGAAGGATAACGGTATTGTGGAAACCACAAAACCAACAGGGCAACTCTGAGGCAGATAAGCCTTGGAATGACTTGGAATGTATGAAAAACCCAGGAGCAAACACAGCTCAGAGAAGAATCTGATGAGGTTTCATCCTGATGATGTTTTTTTTCTGATGAAGATTCCTGTCACAAAAGCAGAGGAACAGAACTGCCAAAAGCCCAGATTGTTCCTACCTAGATTTTGAGGGAGGATAAGGAAAGCAAGAGCTCAAGTGAAACATGACAGCTCACGCTGTCCGAGCAGATAAACCCATTAATATCCCACAAAGTTCTCGTGCCAATTATTTTTGCTCTGTCACATACACCCATCTTCATATGGTTTATTATTCTGTAGAGTTTAGCTTGTCATGTACCCAAGCTGAATCTCCAGCCTGTTTGGTGACTCACCCAACACTGCATGGAGATTTTAGAATTTAGAAATATTAAGCAGGAATTTTTCCCTAAGCTATTCCACCAAATTTTGTCTCGCATCCACAGAGGGAAAGGATTCACCCCTTTGTTTTCTGATTGAATCTGGACATTTCAGAGGTAAAGAAATTGTGTGGAAAGCCACAGTTGTTGGATTAAAAACAAAACAAACAAGTCTTCAAAATTTAGGCATGAGCAAGAAATATTTTGGCATCCTCTGTTGCAAGTGAAAATATTCCTGTGATTCTTTCAGTTTCTATTTGTCAGACAAGTTGGGTTTAACCGCAACAATTATAATTTAAAAAATAAATCAAAGACTTGGAGATAGATTTAGGAGGAAAAAGAGTCATATACAAGAAAAAATAAATAGTTGAAGAATTGATTTTGAATACAAAGAACGAGTTATTTATTTATTTCTCTTGCTAGAGTGCTTGCCTTTAAAAAAAAATAAATCTGCTTTTGCAGTAAGTTAAAGTCCCAGGTGAGCCAGGCCTATTTCCCTTTCTGTTACTATGACAACGATTTTTTACCGCAGTCCCTAAGTCCCTTCAGAACTCACACATTCATGCCTTGAATTAGAACTTTAAAGGAGAAAGATGGATATTTCCTGGGTTTACCAACAACACCCTCCAAACCAGCCCCAGCACAAGACAATAACGCAGAAATCTGCTCCCCCTTGTTAGTGCCACTTCCTCTGCACTACTCCCACCACAAGATTTCTCCTCCATCTGCCCAAAATACAAAGAAAAAGCCACGGTTGGATCCATTTGTGTGGTGCTCGAACAAACCAAACCCCTCTGAAAACCTCACCCACAAAAAAGACACAGATTGTACCGTGTAAAACCACTGCCCAAAATCCACCCTGGCTGGGGACCCTTTTCAATTAAAATGTCCTCTTTTTAACTATTATTCCCTTATGTCTCACAAATATATTAGATATTTTAAAAATGTTTATTTTCTCAAGGTGAGACTGTTATTTTCTCTATATTTCCTTCTCATTCCAGGTCTCCCTTCAGCAGGACATTGAGGTTCAGCAGGAGAGAGGTGTCAATGCTCAGCTCTCAGAGGGCAACTTCTGCCAACAGAGCCCTGGGCACCTCCGTGGCTTCCAAACTAAAAATCCTACAGAATTTCATGCCCTGGGAGCTGAACTGAATATATTTTATTAAATAAGTCCTGTCGAGTCCATGCTGAAACCTGTGACCTCTTTTATATGAAAGATTTGGTGAGATTTTATCCATAAAAACGTTTTCAGAAGGAAAAATCCCCTGCACGTTGGCACCCTCAGAGACTCACAGGATAATGTGAGGCATAAATGTTACTCACAAACACTCCTTTTTTTATTTCCCTCTTCTTAGAGATATAAAAAAGAATAAAAGAATATTTGCAGATATAGAAACAGTTTATAGGAGATGTGCCTGTGCAAAGGAAAACCCCAGAATGAAACCAAACTATAAAATGAACCAAGACAAGGAACTTTTGTATGAAAATCAAAGAGCTGCTGGCTGATCATTCTGCAGGAAAACCACAAAAAAAAAATTCACAAGTTGTTACTTCTAAGGAAAAATAAAATAAATTAAGCAGAAAAAATGGCCAGCTTATTTTTTAATTTTTTGAATGCTTGCATCCCTTTTGATAGAGATGAGAAAAATTATCAACATGAACTAAAGAATGAAGAAAATGAGCAGGGAAAAGTGTTTGGGAGAGATCTTGCTGTGTCAGCTGGACTGATTTTGGGAAGAAGACAGATCCTGGGGGACTGTGAGTGACACAACCCCTAAAAGGCAGATACAGAGAGGCAAAAATTCCAAATGTACATCTAACAGCATCCACGAGCATACTCTGCAACGCGGCGTGACAAGGAACAAAAAATCCCCTTTTTCTGCTAAATACCTACAGAAAACCAGGGTTCAGACCCCCAGCAAACACAACCCAGCAGCACACTTGAAAATGAAGCTTTAATTCCAATTAAATCCGGGCTGATTCGTGCCGAGGGGGGCAATGGCCATTAAAAAACCAGAACTTGCCCGGTCCCTGAGCTGCCGCAGCGCTGAGCGTTGCCCACCCTCCCCGACTGCTCCGCACCAAACACATCCCGGCCTCGGAGCCCGGCAGGCTCAGCCTGGCTCTTAACCCGGGCAGGCTGGGGAGAGGTGCCTTGACTTTCCAGAATTGATGAGCAGCTCGAAATGATGACATTTTCGCTGCTTCAATATATCAGAATGTGCTGGGTTCTCTTTTAGTACTTAAACATCGTGGCAGAATTTATATTTATTTTGCTAGGATGTTTGTTGGAGATCACTGGATATGCTGCACTATGATAATTTCCCTCCTATCACCCCAAAATTTAGATTTAATTTAATTTAGCTGCCCACACAAGGATTTTTATCTTTTTTCCTTTTTTTATCCTAGTCGAACCACACCTTTCTTTTTCTCTTTTTCAGAATTCCTCCAGTCAAATTTGAGCTGCAAGTGGGCATCTGTATGAAGTATTTGGAAGGTTATTGTATATACATATATACATATATATATATGTTGTATATACATATATATACCCATATACATATATACGTATGTGTAATTTATTTTTTTTTTTTTAGATATTGCATCTGGGAAAGGCATTAATATTTATTGCAGCATTAGAATAAAAATGACTTGGGGGGGAGCAAAGAGGAGGGAAGGTTTAGCACTAAATGAAGCTGATTTAGGGGTAACAGGAGATTTGCAGAAAGATTTTATTAATTTCTTTAAATGAGACACTTTAGCCAGTGTCTAAAGTGTCTCATTTAAAGATACTTAAATGAGACACTTTTTGGCCTTAACTTGTATATACCTGAAAAATAATAATTTTTAAAACCAGAATTCTAACAAATTAGCTGATTGTGATGTTTCTGGCCAATCTTTAGCCTTGCTAAGGACAGAATTAGGTGGGAGTTTAGCAGGTGACTCTGGCTCCAGCCAAGCAAAGGGACCTTGGCCCATCCTTAGCCCACCCTCTTCATGGTGACAGGGGAAAATCTAAACACATTTCAATAACTACCCCTGAAAACTCTGGCATTGCTATAGAAAAGCTGATTGACTTAATGCACAGACATAAAATTAATTAAGATATAAGTACAGACTTCTGTTCCTGTTGTGCCTCTCTCGTCGTTGACCTCACTGGGTACAGACTGATATACTTGAGAGGTCTCCAAAATGCCACCTTAAATCCGCCTCCCTCTTTTTAGAGCTATTTTAAAAGTTACTGCTCCTCCTGCTGGGAGCTCCCACCAAGCCCAGGAGCTCAGCTGGGGAATGGTTTAAGTGCCCCTTTTCCACTGCAGTACAAAGTCAGCTCTGTTATCTCAACTATTTTTTAGCAATAGCTTGAGCAATCCTTGGTGGGGAAGCACCAGGAGAGCTCCTAACACAGCTGAGGGGTGCATGGACGTGGAGAAAGGGTGAGGGCAAATGAAGCCAGGTCTTGCATCAGTTAAACTTTTTGCAAAGCAGTTTTTGACCCACAGTCCCATCTTGCCTGTCTATGCCCAAATAATCAGGTTCTGTACCTGGCTAGGACTGGAACCTATGCTCCACACCTGTGAGGATGTTTATCCACCTCAGATGAGTGAGAAGAATCAAATTGACCTTAATCAATCCTGCTGGAGTTGGAAAAATCTTCCTGGTGACTTCAGCAGGACTAGGCAGAAGCCCTAAAACTCAGTCCCATGTGCAGCAGAACGTGTAATTTTAAAAAAATAAATAAATCAATTAATAATTTTTATCCCACATCCACCTTTTATGCTTCATTAAAATAGAGGTACAGTATCAAGAGGTCCAACATTAGCTGTATGTTGGGAACAGCCTCTGGATACACCTAAAATTCTGGATATAACTAAAAATTCTCCCTTGTAAAGCAAATAATTCTGGCTTTTTTGGGGTTGCTGTGGAATTTGGAGCTGTGGCCTCAGTGATTTTTTGGCAAGAGAACACGCCTACCATCTAGGATAATTCTGATTATGCCTACCAGCAAATCCTGCGATCCCAAAATCTAATGAAAATATAAAGATGCAGTGCAATCCTCCTTCAATAATTCAGTGCTTCCAAAACGTCACAAAGGGAACAAAGAAAAAAAACAGAAGTTGTTATTATGAGTATCACTTCAACAATATTACATTAAAATATACTGTGAACTGCAAAAGTGTTATTATTGCAGTGAGGGCCT